TTTGAGTCCAGATCTAGAGTCTAGAGTCTCAAGCTTTCATAAATTCTCCAGAAACTTCGCAAAAAACGGGTAGCGGATTTGGAATCAGCGTTTGAAGGAGTTTTTCATTATGTGCATCTTTTTTTCGCTAGTGGGACTCCACACTGTCACCTGTTGAGAATATAACTCAATTTCTAAAATACTACGCTGTAAACATTTCACTTTCAAACTCATTGTCTTTACTTGACAAATAACATATCTATGGTATCTCAGACAATCGATGCCGTAGCTCCGGAGGGCAGTCGAAATCTGGCAGAGCTCCGATGGGCCTTCTTAACCATTGAGGAGGCGGGGCGAAGGGCGTCAGGGTGACGTCACAAGAAGGCGGATGGGACCCTACCGGCGGGCTTGCAAATCTGCTCCGGAGTTACGCCAGATATGGACGAGCCCCGGAGCACACATTTGCGCTCTGGAGGTACGCCAGATTTGGGACACCCTGGAGTACAAAATGGGAAGGCTCCGGAGCACAAATGGGAAGTCTCCGGAGCACAAAACGCGAGGTCTCCAGAGCACAAGGGAGGTCTCCAGAGCACAAAACGGGAGGTCTCCGGAGCACAAAATGGGAGGGCTCCGGAGCGCGAGTGGCAATTCTCCGCTGGGTAGAGCCCGCGACCCTGCCACTTCTGCTCCGAAGGTATCCCATCGACTGTCTGAGATTGCGCAAGTCTTTTATCTTGATTTGAGTCTTCCCAATGTTTCTGAAAGCTCTTGCAGGGGTTGTAGAACTGCGCTATGAAGTTCGCAGTGTCAAGTCAAAAGACTCAATCAAGGTGCTGGAATAAAACTTGAAGCTTTGAAACTGTTTGACGAATCGTAGTCAATTATATAAAAGTGTTGATCTTGAACTGCAATTGATCTACAAATCTTTTCGACACTTTTTTGATCCTGTCAACTGGGCCCCAAATTGGGCTAATTTTATAGATATCTATTAGAACTGAACTCGTATCGCGCAAATGTGTGCATTTTGATCAAAGTGCAGATTCAGCTGTTTCTACGAAATTATTGTCAAATACAGCGAATACCAGTGTTATAGTTCGATCGTCATACAGCTTCTCTCCGTGCTGTTTATCAAAAACGTGAGCATCCTTCAAATCACCGGATTTCGCATCTACTGAACGCAGTCTAATAAAAGTGAGTGAATACCACAGGGATAACAGAATTTAAAATAAAGAAGATTTTTGAACTGTTTATTTGAAATCAGATTTTCTAAGTTAACCAGTGGTTTATTAGAGACTCTCAAGATCCCACTTTCTATCCCACTTTCTATTTTTTTCCAGGGCCTGATCCCTCAATGTTACAGTTAGCGTGACTGGCTCCGACTCTTGGTTGGTATGACCTGACGCTTGATAAAATACGAAAATTTGAATGGAAAATGTGCTTAGATTTTGTAAGGATTCTCCAATGTGATACTCTTCTCGCAATGATTCTCTCAAGGCATAAACTATAATTTTCTTCTTTTTACTGAGACAGTTTGTTATGTTTAAACCAACAAATATAAACTATACGTAACTACGAATTATGATCAGTTTCCATAAGCAAATTTCATACCTGCCTTCCGCAACAGCCCCATTTGATCGAAAATGCAGATCACTCATATCCCTTTGTTGTCTTCTTTCAAAGAATCATTCAGAAGCAAACCATTTTCAGTGGTTTATCTAGACATAAGATTTTGCTCGCATGAAGTTTAACTGCATTTTCTTCAAACTTCAAGACGGTTGAAGAACCGTTATTTCGCTAGCAAACAGTAATCTCAGCAAAAATGTCATTTTGCAATATTGCTAACACTGCGTCGCTTGCGCTGCACAGGCGACTAGTATATGTCACCTGAGAATGGATGGAAGGTCTAACAAGGGAAGTTCGCCGAATCGAAATGGCCGATTGATACGTGGTATACACCCGGACGCGGGGCTCGGGAGGTTAGTATCAAATGTGTGCCCATTAGCTGCGACGCGTTATTGTGAAGCAAGTTATGGCCCTCTAAAGTTTTTGGCGTGTGCATGTCTAGAGAACGCACAAATGCTCCGATTGTGGTCGTGTGGTGTAGTGGTTAGCGTTTCGAACTCACAGGTGAGCGGTGAGGGTTCGAGTCCTGTTGCTGTCCACATGTTTTGCGTTCTTCTCAAAATTCATTTTTACCTGTTTTATGCATCACTGACGTAAAAAATGACACATACGGGTGGTTAAACTCTACTAATTATACATCCTGCCTTTCATTCTCACAAGGTAGCCCATTAGCAAGAATCAATAGTACGACGCGATACAACTTGAAGATTGTCACATAAATACTACGTGCAATCGAAGAAAGTATGTGGGAGTGAGGATTTGGCAAATCTTCAAAGTCAATTGAAAAGCCGTCGCTAAAAAGTCGTTGCTATGTTCTACGAAGATCTTGAGGGCCGGGCATACTTCATGCGATTTCAGTCGCGACGCGATTTGGCAATAATCCAACTGTTCATAACTCATTGTAAGCACAATTTAAATGCACAGAAGACAGGGCATTCTATCATTCCACATAAGTTATACATTTATGCATGTGCAGTTTGCTAGTGTTGAATGTGAACACTTCTGACGAATTGCCAAATCGCGTCGCGACTGAAATCGCGTGAAGTATGCCCGGCCCTTTACATATGAAGCATTCGTCGAATTTTCGTGAGAAAAATCATCCCGTAACCCATGTGTGTCATTTTTTACCTCAATAATACATAAAACACATTTTGAGAAGAACGCAAAACATGTGGACAGCAACAGGACTGGAACCCTCACCGCTCACCTGCGAGTCCGAGACGCTAACCACTACACCACACGACCACAATCGGAGCATTTGTGCGTACCCTAGGCATGCACACGCCAAAAACTTCAGAGGGCCATAACTTGCTTCACAATAATGCGTCGCAGCTAATGGGCGCACATTTGATACTAACCTCCCGAGCCCCGCGTCCGGGTGTATACCACGTATCAATCGGCCATTTCGATTCGGCGAACTTCCCTTGTAAGAGTTTATCTGAATGTGCCTAGACGTTGTAGGCTGTTTTCTCAGATAAGACAAAGCTACCGAATCATTCACACTAAAAAAACTTTCAGCATTTGCCTTTTCTTTATGGTCGTTTTACGGGTGCTGCAATTTTATCAGCGTTCAATCATTTTGACGACTGAAAATGTTTGCTTCAACGTGGTTCTTTCAAATGAACTAACATCGTCTTTATTCTCTTCATTGAGCTCAACTTTATTCTATCTTCATAGGTGTAGCAAAGGAGTTCGCTTATCCTACTGCAGTTGAGGATTGCTTGCTGAATTTGCAAACGGCATTCTAACTGTGTGACTATTAATGCAGGAATTGGGAGGAAATCTTGATGTACTTATGTAGCTTTACTTTCAATATCTGGTTTATCTTATACATTCCAGCAATAGTTGCTCTCATTTTTCAAGATACTCTTTATTCTAAGAATTTTTTAACAGTAACTCATTAGCAAAGCCAATTTTTTTTTACATAAACATGTAAGAGGTGATAAAGCGACCTGCGCATCCACTGCGTGGCACTGCATCTGTACGCACATAATCGCGCCTACAGGCTGTACTAACCAGGATCAGTTTTGCAACATCGCGCCTGCGGCAAATTTGCGGCGGTGCGGTGTGATGCGTGCGAACCCTGCTAAGGGTTAGGCCAGACTGGGGGCCTACGCGGCGTACGCAACATACGCAGCGTACGTTCCATATCTTTATGCATGTGAGCGTACGCTGCGCACGTCGCGTACGCCGCGTACTTCGCGTAGGCCGCGTATGTCGCGTACGACACGCAGTCTCAAACCTATGCATTGGCAGTATCCGGACTAAGTGGTTGTAATTATACTGTCGCGCAAAAGTAACCGCCTTGGCACACCCATCAGCCAATCGCGGACACTGGAATCGGAAGCGGAAAAAATGCTCCGGAAGTTGAGAGTTACGCCACGACCGAGGACCTCTCCTACTGAGACCACAAGTTGGAGTGCGTATATCGCACACAATTAAGACGTAGTCTCACACGACTCTTTTCTTAACTTTGGCGGCAGGCGTCTAAACTCAAAATCAGAGGTTTCTGCTCAGATAATTGCCGGGAGCAGGCGGTACACGAACTCGCACTCTTCTGCAGGCGGTCAGCGAAATTTTGCGGCGAGGCCAAACCTTCAGCGAGCGGGGCTTCCGTGTTCTGCCAGTGGGCAGCAATACAGAATTTTCTGCAAGCGCTCGTCAAATAATTTGTTTCAGCAAACGCTGGCCAAACTTTCGGCGGCGCCCGGACTCTTTTTACGCAGTTTCGGGTGTACGCCGAGCAAAGGTGGGACTCTATGTGGCAGAGGTGTCATCGTGGTTTGATTACCAGATTTCGGGGTACTTTTCTCTGGGGAAGGTACCTAAGGGCTGTGCGGTCCTGCACAAAGAACCGTGCGGCCCCCAATAACTTTGCATATTCTCGCGGAAATCCGCGAGAAGGTCTGCAAGCATTCATCAGAAAATTGGCCAACGTTCTTCCAAATTTCTTCAAGCGGAGCGCAAGAAATCAGCGAACTATTTTCCCGGTATCCGCTTGCCCGAAAATGGCATGGCCGCCTGCCCCCGGCGATTATCTAAATGGGATAGCCCGTTTTGACATTTTCGTACTTTGCAAGCTGCAATTCCGGAATCAGCAGGAAGAAGCGCGAAAAAAATTTGTTTATCTTGCCGTACACTGCCCTTAACGCACGTCGCATGCAACGATGCGCCCTGCAAGGCATACCAGCGAGACCGATGCTAGTTGATACAGCCTTTACTTGCACATGTATCCACAAGGATTTTGCCGTCGCATCGCACAAGTCAGCTCCCCTGTGCAAAACGAGAAAGTCCGGAACAATAGAATAACTTTTTGTAGCACATTATACATCAAATGCCAAAATCACATAGATGAGCACATATGAAAAAAATGATTAGAATCTCAAACTTACATCTGGTCAACAAACTAGAGAAGGTTTGTCTTCAACAATACAGGCAAAATAAGATTCCGAAAAAAATGATCCACTTGACATTGTTCCAAAATTGCAACCAAAAGACAGTGCATTCGTCAGCATCTGGAAAGGTTTAATAATCAAACATTCTACGTGTATCTCTATTTGCGAAGCATCACTACAAGGTGAGTCAAAGGTAATTAGAGCATTGTTCGATAGTGCAAGACAATTTCTACAAGATCAAAATGCAAAGCAAAGTTCTAAGAGTATTTGATTACTTCAAAAAAAAAAGGGTTTTCGCCGCAACTCTTCGTAATGCTTCATTAAAAAATTATGCGAGGTAAGCAGTAGCAGACGTTTTTTAAGTGTTCCTAAAATTTGCGGTTGCACCGTTTGGAAAGCTTCTCAACCTTGTAAAGAGTTGGGTATTGAACTCAGGGTTCATGAAAACCCTATTACACAAATTTCCACATTTTTTTTTTGAAAATTTTCGAAACGACCGCTTTTTTCACAGTGACACCATATGTTTGAAGTTTCTACCGTACTCCTACAGTAAGAATGAGCGATCGGCGACTTGCTCTACACTGCAAATCTAAGTTGAACCTCGCTCTACAAAGTGGTACCTAAAGCTTCTCGAAACACTTCACTACAAGAGAGTTATTTGCAATCAAACAGTGTGCACACTTTTTTGGGACACCCTGTCTATATCAGTGGCGGTCCCAGGATTTCGGAACGGGGGGGGGGCGAAAATTTTTTTTAGTGAAGGTGCGTCGCTTGAGCCACGCCTCGAGAAAATTTTTATAAGGCTACTTTGAATTTTTAAAAATTTTGAAAATTGTTTTTGTTATTTACAAAAATAAACAAGTTGTTTGCACATTTTCATAACCTATATAGGTAAATTTCAAAAATTTCGCGACCAATTCTCGGGGGGGGGGGGCGTCTCCGCCTCGGTACGCCACTGATATATTATATATATATATTTATAATATATATCGGGGAGGAGGAAAAATTTTTCTATGATTAAAGGTGCACGTCCTTTCCCATGCACTCTAAATGTCTCTGGAATGTTTACCAAAATTTCTGTAGGTAACTTTCAAGTTTTAGAAGGGTGCGGGGACGCTATTGCCACAGTTACAAACAAGTCTTGCACATTTTTATATTAGGTTGGTGCAAAAGTTTTGTCAGTTTTTTCAATCCATCAGCAAACACGCTAGAATGAAGATAAACAAACAATTCAAAGTGCATCCGATGCAGAATTTCTTCCTCTTTCCAGCAGCTTAACTCACATTGTGTTTCGTTGAGAGATTGACGAGATATTTGTCGAAAATTACAACCACTCGTTTTTACCATGCCCAAATTTCACTAATTCTCAAAATTTTTGTATGAGACTTTAGGAGGAGCTTCAATAACCAGCAGACAGGGCAAACCTTTTGCCAACTAGTGCAATTTTTTGTAGCCCTATGGCTTGTCTTCCAGAATTTCTACAATTTATTTTTTGAAGTGATCAAATTTTACATTCAGTCTATTTTCACCTCGTGGAACATAAAATGTTAAACACTTCAGTCATCATTCGATGCAACTTTTTCTCCTCTTTCTAACACTTGTCTTTTTTCGCAGACAGGCAAAATTTGTGGAAAAAATCGCAGTATTTCTCAATTTCAGGAGTGCGCACTGACGTAACCTATGTTTTAAAATCTTCATAATTTGAAGCGAAAATCGCTCATTTACTTTGTAATGTCGCGGTAGTAATAATCAAGTGTTGAAACCTCAGTATTCTGGAGGTTTTGCAGTGTTTGGTGCAATAACAGGTTATGCGATTTTTAGAAAACACAACACTTTTAGAAAATCATTTGACAAAAATCTGAAAAAGCAGCTAAAAGAAAGAGAAAATTTGCATAACTTGGCAAAAGGTTTGCCCTATCTGGTGGTTATTAGAACCTCTCCGAAAGTCTCATCCAAAAGTTTTGAAAATTAGTGAAAGTTAAACATGGTAAAAATGAATGGTTGCAATTTCCAGCAAATATCTCGTCATTCTCGCAACGAAACACAATGTGAGTTTAGCAGTTGAAAAGAAGAAGAAATTCTGCATCAGATATTTGTTGAAGTATCTGTTTATCTTCATTTTAGCGTGCTTGCCGAGGGATTGAAAAAGCTGACAAAATTTTTGCACCAACCTAATAATTCACGCTACGCCACTGATTTACATATACTCTTTGATTAAACGGGATTGGGCTAGAAGCGGGGCTTCGAGGCCTAAGCAGGACTAAAGAATGATCAGAGAGCACCTCGCAGAGAGCGTCGTAGGAGCGAATGGTCGCTTCCAGCCGTCAATCCCATTGAATCAAAGGGTACGTATGCGTATTCTGCACAATTCAGCTTTATAAATAAGATATACAAATTTGGTCTTATGTTACTACTGAAAGATTCACTCTCATGCTCTTTTGTGCAGCCCATAGCTCAAACCTACTTCATGCTAACGGTCTTCATGAGTAAAGCTTTTCGCTATGCATTCTTCATATAAGCAACTCTGATTCGTACTTTCCTTACTTTTTTCTTCAAATAGTCTGTGGCTGAGTTTGACTCTCTCGCGCCTGATAGTTTTGACCAATATTTCCAACAAATAAAGAAGCAAAAGATTTTTCGCGCAATTAAACTGACTTTCGGGAGCTTAAAGTCTTCGCGAAAAGGCGTTATGTACCGACACAGTGAGCTAACCTCAGAACCAAGGTGTAGCAAAACTGAACAAAAATTTGTATAGAAGTATTATGTCGCTTTTAGTTGATGTCTGTCCGATGGCTATGGTGATAGTGATGTAGGCTTTGTAAGAAATAACGCATAATCTGTTGCCCTCAACATAAAATTTCTGAATAAAAAAGAGACATCCCAAGTTTGCACGTTGCAACGCACCATGTGCGCTCCGCATCCTTGCTGCAGTCTGCATTGTTCCTTATAAAATGGATAAAGGAGTAGATGCCTTTGACACTCACTTCTGGAATATATAGACTTCTGGACTTGTATGTGTCGAACAATTTGGAGGCGATGGCATCTGGTTCCTTTTTGCTAAATTTATCATGCAATGCAAACAAACAGTTTGTTGCACTCTATTGCTCCACTTACACGTGCGTCAGAGGGGTCCAAAAGCCTTGTTCTGCAGTTACTTTCTCTTGGACAATCGTTGAATTTGTTGCATTCACCTCCAGCGTGCAGTTATAGGGTGGCCAGAGCGTTAGGTTCTAAAAATAAAACTGGATCTCTAAAAATAAAATAAGATTATAGTCTTTTTGTACTCTTTTTGCTTGCAGCAAAAGTTTAGCACGAATGGCCATCATTTTCCGCAGATAAGGCTCATATCACGTAGAGAACGTAGATGCGAAAGAGCGCTTGAAGGCGCAGCTTATTTAATGTGATTTGCAGTTGACTGCTTATACAGCATTTGACATCAGCCTTGTTAGCAGAAAAATGGGAATACTCGAATTTTTGAGACAAGAGAGAGAAACTAACCAGCTTATCTTTTAACAGTCTTACAAAATTTGATTTGAACGTAAAATTAAGTGATTTGCCAGTCTTGTTTGAACAATTCAAATCAAGCTGGCGATCAGGATCATAATGTGACTGGTTGTAACCTGGATAACAATTGTCTAAGAGAGAAGCCAAGATCGGAACCTGAAAATATGAAAAGTCAACAGATAACTTGTAGGCTTTTCGTTTACCCCGGAAAGCACAAGCCATCGGATCATCATTGTCGTGCTGAGTATCAGTTTAGAGTATTTAAATCAAACAAGGCTAAGTACATAAACAAGTGCATTTCAACTTTATGAAAGGTTTTCTCTCAATAGTGGAGCAGTGTTGGCTTTCATAATAATGCGCGAAAACGATTTCTACTAATATTTTGACAATTTTTTTCAAAAATGCCTTCAAAGTGCGAAAACGAATAACTTGGACAATCCTTCGGAACTTCCGTAGGACAAGCAAAATTTGCAAGATTCTGCAGGATTTTGTTTACTATTACAAGAGTGAAAACGTTCAAAAAGGGAACTTTCGCAGGGTTTTCACGCCAGACTAGTTGAAAGAGGAAACTTGACTTTTTACAAAACGCTGTGGAGGTTCCGAAAAGTGTGCCAGCGATTTTGCAGCACGTTGACATACCACTATTTTCGCAGGTTTATGGATGTGTTGTCTCATACAATGCCTGGCCAACAACTAGAGTGCATTGTCGAACATGTCATTCGTAGTGCAGAAGATAGTAAGTGCCTGCAGTCGATAGTGCAAGGTTTGTATCTCGCTCACGTGTTTTCTTTTGCTATTGTTGTTCGCATTCTTCAAAGCTTCCGCAGCACGTTTACGGAACTTCCGCAGGTGACCTGGCGGAACGTTTCCAAGGGTTTTGCGGAAGTTTCGTTAGTGGTCTGAGAAGGTGAAGGTCTGAGTATGTGTTAAGAATTATTCTCTGCTTATGCTCATATGGTGTGCGTATTTCTAGTTAGGCGCCTCCTCTGTAAATGACAAGAAATTTGCATACAATTTTTTCTGTGACTGGATTACAAAATGAAGCATAGGCCACTCAGTAGCGAGAAATAACTGTGAAACAACACATCATGTTTTATGCATTTCTTTCTGCTTACCGGGTCAGCTTCTTCTCTGGTTAACTTCTTTCCTGCACAAAAGATAAAGTGCTGAAATACCACATTTTCTCAAAGTTCCTCCGTGATAATAATATTTTTAACGCAGTTTCGAATGCCGTACACATGAAATCCTCAGTGCCCAGAATAGCTTCTGACGCTATGTATGGTCAGACTGAAGCATTGAGACTCAACCAAAACGAAAAGTTCCGTGTGATTATCCTATAAGGAAAGAGTTGGTTTTACAAAAATGAAGTGATCAAACGCTTAGTGGAGTCTAAAACGTTGTTACCATATGTTTTGCTATTCGGAGTTGAGTCTTTGCGGAGGAGGAGATATTTTCATCTTGCAATCGTACTATTTTTGCACTTTTGAAATGATGCCTAGCGCAACGCAAATGTGTGGATCTGCAACCAATTAAATTCAGTTTCGTTGTTGCGATGCAATTCTCTGGCATCTGCTCTGTATCGGACATACGCTTGTTAGGCTTTCAGAGCTTTCCTCTATTTCGACGTCACGGAATGCCTTTTCGATGATGAAAAAATTAAAGTTCCCCTGACTTCGCAAAATTTTGAGAAGTCTCCTTCGACCCTCATCCAAAACACTCGAATCGACTAAAAAGACGAGACATCGACTTAAAAACCTAATTGAGAACCTACTAAAACGATATCTTTTTTGCTTTTTATCTCAAACGATATCTAGCCTGCTAAGCCATCTGTGCCGAACCTTATTTACTGCTTTACTACCACGTGCTTGATGGTTATTTAGGTTGGAAAGACAAGAATGTCGCTCTTTTTTGGAATTTTTTGGCTAAATTATCTATTTCTTAGAAACCTGAAAGGCACTACAAGGCCGATTCATAAACAAAGCTTCGAAGGTTTCTGGCATACGATTGTATATATGGGAGGAGCCCAGGACTATTGAGGGCGGAGTTTGCTATTCTTTATTTTGATTTTTTTCTTGATTTCTAAACAAGAAAAAAATATGTTAAGGGTACATATGGATAAGTGCATATGTCTGCTACATGCAGGAACAAGTAAGGTTTGTAGTAATTTTTGAAGTAAAAATTCGATTTTCTAGCATTGTAAGTTGCTCTTATGTTTGGCTTGCAACTTTGCGTAAATCACGTTTCACACCAACTTTCAAAAGTGATCTCGTAGAGCTCGCTTTGCTCTATCGAACGATACTCCTCACATATTTTTTAATCGTCCTTGTTCTCTTATTATAAAAACAGATATTCTTTGCTTTCCAACCTAATATCAATATGTATGCCTAAATACAGTTCCTAGCACTATTAGATACTCATTTCTGTTGTTCCAAAAAAACGGTGCTCATATCTTTTTTCTACAGAAATTAAAAACCATGTATTATGTTGTGAAATCCCGGACACTTTTGAGTTTTCATTTTCGGACTCATTTTCGCACTCGGTCGAATTACGAACACGAATTTTTTTTGTACAGTCATGCAGAAAAGGCCTATACTTTTCCGTCCGTTTTTTTACGATTTTGAATGATGTCCGGTCTACATACCAATGAAGTGAGTTTTCCATGTGAAAATTTGATTTTCCTTGTAGTCGTTTTTTCCGAAATGGACTAAAAAAGCCCGTTCAAATGTCGATTATCTTAAATGAGGTGGTCGTTGGCTTGGAACCCGCAGCTACACTCATATTCTGCTATACGCGCCCAAAGTTTGAGGGCTGTCAAACCTGCCTCTGGCCGCAACTTTTTCAAAGTTGGTGTGGAAAGGGACCGGCACTCCTCATTGATGGGTCAATTTAGCTAGACATTATTTGAATAGTGTTTGCAGAAGAATCAAGAATTCGGTTTAATCTCTGCACAGATGTAAGACTTCGAGGTCTTTTCATTGGAAAATGGGGCAAAATTTAGTGCAAAAAATTGCCGATTTTTCGATTCCTTCTAAAAAGAATTTTTTTCTGTAACTGGCGCCCTAAAATCGTGCTTTGCCCTAACCCAAGCTCCGGCACATTTCTACCGCGGCCAACATATGAGCTCTCCAAAGGTGAATGAGATAATGCTGCAACAGGCCATACTTCGAGTTTGCCTTTTTTTATTGTGCGCAACAGTGGACGACCTCGAATGAGATGCTAAAATTAGCAAAATAATCGTATATCGCAGACAAAATCTTTGCAGCAAGACTTGCAAGTCTCAAAAGGACTGATCTTGAAAGTAACAGTTTGTAAAAATTTTTGCATGTGTCCCGAAAACATTCCTTACAACTCATTTATTTGTGAGTGCAGCGTAAATACTGATAACAATCTTTTCACTGAAAGAATGCACCAACGTAGAATCGCGCGGACATAGATACCCAGCCGCGGAGCTCCGTTGTTTTGAAAAACACGTCATCTACGAAGAAGTGGATTTTGATTGCATTTGAAAAGATTTTAAAATAAGTTTTACTTGATAATTTCCAGCTGAGTTAAGGAGTTAAGTATTTTTGCATTTTTTCAATTTTAATGCATCACGCCTTAATGTAACCGGTGCCCAAACAAAATCTATCAACCACATTAGCAATCCCGGTATCATATTTATAAGTGTTCTAAGCACAAATGCATAGCTTTTTGAATAAGCTTATACATTCGTAATATAATTCGCTTAGTTCTCTTGAAGACTTTGTCGGAATACTCTTTGAAATGACGATTCAAAGCTTAATTTGCCAAGAAACCGTATAAAGCCTAATTATCGCGATAATTCGTCAATCTGTTTCCATATAATTTATTGAGTGGATTAGGTCTTGCAATCGTCATTCACTACCTTTTTCGGCACCATCTGCTGGTCAACTTTGTACTTATCCAACTATAAATAGCTTATCCATTATTGGTAGTAACTTGCTCCACATTATTTGTTCCGGTATTGTTCGCGTCACCATACAATTCCTTCTTCATTCTTCATCTCCTCTAGACATTACACCAACCTCACCGTTAGTATGAGCGTGGCAGCCGATCTTCCACAAGTGAACATGCCCAAGCTTTTACCCTCTACGAGCGGGCTGTGTGCAGCATGCGTCACATACCAACAGGAAAAGTTTTGCATAAGAATGTTGGCAAATTCAGTTTACTAATTTGTCTATTTCATCTTGCTTAAAGGCACCGTCCACGCAGATTTTCGACTTCCACGTTTATATCGTTTCAGGGCCTTCTCATGTCCCTGATTCCGAAGATGAAGTCGAGAATGCGCGAAAACCCCGACAATCCCCTTTCGGAGAACCCACAGGCCGGCTTTCCGGAACCGTGATTGGATGGGCGCACACAAATGGGGGGGGGGGGCATGGATGGGGGTCCTCGTGCATCTTCGCTATTTCAAAACGATTTTCTCTCTTCCGAACTTGGGCATAGGATTCATAGGGGGCCCTACTATTATATGCTGCCAAAAGCTCAACACACTCAACATTGTGTGGACGGTGCCTTTAAACACCTGCATCTCTTCCTAAGTATTGTCTTATTAAAGTTCATACCTTATTTTGAATTTCAGGAGGATACAGTTTTATGAGCATCGCTTACATCCTGTAAAAGTTTTTCCCCTAATTTGTCATGTATGCTTTCTTTTGTAGCGGTTCACTCAATGGTTTCGTTTTTCAGAGGGTATGTGAGCTGATGTAAAATTAAAAGTTGGTCTCATATCGACTTTTGCTCTTTCACCATCAATGCTGATTGTTCCGTGCATCTCATATATAAAGCTGAATATCTGTTTGTCTGTCTGTCTGTCTGTCTGTATGTATGTATGTCTGTCTGTCTGTGTGTACGTATGTTCCGAATAGAAAATTCCATTTCTGAACCGATCGGGACCAAACTTGGCACACATACACTTTTAGCCCCGGCGGGTGTCATAGGCTACTTTTCGTCATCGATCGATATCGGTTTTATCGATTTTTTGCAAAATTTGAGCTACGGGGCTGGGAGTTGGCACAGGGAGGTAATCGAGCATGCTGATTACAAATTTATTATTGACAGGCCCCGTGGGGGTGATCAGCATGCTCGATTACACCCCTCTGCCAAATTCCAGCCCCCTAGCTCAAATTTTGCAAAAAATCGATAAAATCGACATCGATCGATAACGAAAAGTGGACTGTGACACACGCCGGGGCCCGAAGTGTATGTGTGCCAAGTTTGGTCCGGATCGGTTAAAAATGGAATTTTCTATTCGGAACATACGGCGGAGCCGGGTAAGCCAGCTAGTATAGAATATATTAGATTGTGCCGAAAGTTCGTTCGCACCATTTTCAAAAATTCATAACTCTTTAAATTCTTAACGAATTTGTACAATCAAAATTTTGCTCAAGAGAGGAACTCATGCTTTTTGCAATTGTCCTGAAAAGTTCGTTAACGTTTTCAAATGAAGGAGATAGAAGCTCAAAACCAGAATCAATCAAAATTCGAATTTTTCGTGTAGGGTCACAAAAAATCGGAAAATTGCAACAAAAATCGGAGCAGTTAGTACTATAGGCTCTTTCATAAGCTCTTTCCAACAGTGCTAAGTTTGCGCTGATTGAACATGTCTATGAAAAGTTATGATTTCCCTGAAAAATGCCAAAATAAATCAAATTCGCCCTTTTCTATTGATTGCTCAAAAATCATAACTTTTCATAGAGACGTTCAATCAGCGCAAACTTTGCACTGTTAGAAAGAGCTAGTGAAAGAACCTCCAACACCGATTTTTGTTGCAAGTTTCCGATTTTTTATGACCCTACACGAAAAATTCAAATTTTGAGTGATTTTGGTTTTGAGCTTCTATCTCCTTCATTTGAAAACGTTAACGAACATCTCAGGTACACGTGCAAAGAGCATGAGTTCCTCTCTTAAGCAAAATTTTGATCGAATTCGTTAAGAATTTAAAGAGTTATGAATTTTTGAAAATGATGCGAACGAACTTTCGGCACAACCTAATAGAAGCAATTCCTAGTCTGTAAGAAACAAGGTGATCGTTTAAAGTCCATACAAAGTGACTCTGCGGATAACTGGAAAATAGTTGAGCTATAGAAAACATGTTTCACTATGAAGGCTCAAAGGCATTGTGTAGTCTCTTTGACTATGAAGTAAAGTACGTTCGGCGCATGCCCGCAGGAGGTATTAGAAACGTATAAAGCAGCTGTGATGCTTGTAGTATGAAGATTTTGGCTAGAGTGCCCTTATTTCACGAATACAAGACGCATGTGTTTTTCTAGGCCAGACAAGCCTCACCAAAAGACTAACTGAGCCTACACCGTGCTACTCACTACCTAAAAGAATTTTGCGGGAGAGCAATTATTCCACGAGGCACTGTGGTGGGAGCGGCCGAGATACTTGCTTGAAGTAGCGAGGAAGCTGCGTCTTGTACTCGTGAGACTAGGGTGACTGACTGCTTCTCGCTTGTCGCATTTGTCAGCAATTTCAGAATTGCTTCTAGCTTAGTCTCAAATCACTTGTTAAATTACTTTTGACGTCAGGGATGCCATGGTGCCGAGTGATTGTACTTGACAATTCGTTTCAGCGTTTTTCTTTAGTTTTGTGTTTTGCCCTTCCCTTAACATATTCCTAGACTGTTCTGGATACCCACACCAAGCCGATTATTCAACTACCTGTCTCCATTTTTGCTCGTTCTAGTCAATGCAAGCCTACCGCGGTAGGCTAGATACAATGTAGGAAACATTTTATTGGGTCGTCTCGAAAGTTCTGTCGCACCATTTTCAAAAAATCGCACTTCTGATTTTTCCAACCGATTTGACTGCTTTTATGTTTGCATGAAAGACTAAGTCATGCTCTTTATAAAGTCATCTTAGCTTCTTACTCATGATCATCTTTTGCATAGATAAGAGCGGTAGAAAAAAAATTATCAAAGTTCAAATTTTCTGTGTAGGGTCAAAAAAATCTGAAACCGGCAGGAAAAATCGGAGCAGTCGGTATTGTAGGTTTTTTCACCAGCTTTTTCTAACAGTGCAAAGTTTGCGCTGATTGAATGTTTCTATAAGAAGTTATGATTTCCGAGCAAGCTATATTAAAGGGCAAATTTGATTTATTTTGGCATTTTTAGGAAAATCGTAACTTTTCACAGAGACGCTCAATCAGCGCAAACTTTGCACTGTTAGAAAGAGCTGGTGATAAAACCTACAATACCGACTGCTCCGATTTTTGTTGCAAGTTTCCGATTTTTTATGACCCTACACAGAAGATTCGAATTCTGATTATTTTTCTTCTACCGCTCCTATCTATGGAAATATGATCATTTGTAAGTAGCTAACAAGGGAATGGTTAGAAATCAAAGTGGCTGATCCAGACAAGCTGTATGCCGTTGCAACACGAAGCGCTGAGTCTAAATCTGTCTTCCTTATCTGCTTACCGCTTTTCTGGACAAAGCTATAAGCCATTAAAGGGTTGTTGTTTTATTGTGAATCACCCTAATTACTGAAGCCTTATAAAAATCATGTATTTGCCATTGTAATGAGCTGTTTATGTCAAAGTTTCGATCTCGACCATTTCAATAAAGTTTGTGATACTTGGCAGAAACAAAGCGTGCATTTGTGCCAGTGTCAGTCTCTTCAATTTTTTTGCGCCTCAAGCACATCTGTGGTAGTAGAGACAGCAGTGGTGAACATGATTTACGTACACACAATTTCTGCAAATTAGCTGCAGAAAGGTAAAGAAATCTTGAAAACCTGTTTTTGAAAACCAGAAATTGATTTCGGTGTGGGAGGGGGAGAATTATGTTTGTATGGATCAACATAGATTCACTTGACAAATTAATGTAGAACTTTGTTGTCAGAGTTCAACATGTCGAACTGAAGCGTGTAAAACATCATCTGACAATGAGTGTGCCCGTAAAAATCGGCACAAGTATACGGGTTTGTGGCGACTCGGTGGGCTCATGGCGCATAGATAATAGGTTGTCCGGAAATTAATGCAGGTTTTGCATATTCTCACTTCAAAGCGTCATAACTCTTTTGAAATCGCATATTTCGAAATGAGGAAAAACTATTGTGATCAGCAATTCTTTTTCTATTCGCGGCATTTTCTTTTGTAACTGTAGCTCCAACAAGCAAATTACTGAAAGTCAGAAAGTTAAAAAAAATTTCTTTGACAAGGTCATAATTGGCAACATTTTTTCGATATTTCCTCCACGGCGCAATCTCCGATAATTTTGATTTTTTTATCAACTCACCAAAAATAAAGCCTGGGAGGTACCAGTTGAGAAGATATCTGACGGCACTGGCCTCACTTTTCAAGCACGAGAAAAGGCTTTCACGGTTGCTTTCTTTAGAATAGTCTTCTAAGCCATGGAGTGGCTGCGAGAATCATTCATGTTAAAGGTTAGTTTCTTCACTCTCACAAATGTTTCAAAAGAAGCGTTACTATCTATTTTGTAGGTTCACTCAATATCTTGCTTCAGCTATATTATCATGGATATACCCCTCTTGCCGAATAAGTTCAAGAAAAAATAATGCAAAAGGTAAATTTATTAATTTAAAGCTTCATCTTCGGATGGTTGTAGATTTTGAACAAATGAAGTTGGTCGTAGAAGTAATGCATATAAGAGAGAGCATGAAGAACGGCTTCTTTTAGTATGCGAAATTGGTCGAAAGATATACATACACAGAAGAACGATCCTTTTGAAGTTGCATTCGCAGAAACCTGCATTAATTTCCGGACAACCTAATAGATACCGAAGCCTAGTGCTCCCCCGATATGCAGGAAACCTATCCCTACTACGTACCCAATGCGCGAGCGAAATAACAAGAGATAAATCAGGTTAGTTATATAGTGGCATCACACTACAGTTAAAAAAAACAGAATGCTAAACTGAAACAGATTACTACTACCATCAACGAACATAAGACAGGGGTCCGTCCCATGCTACCAATGCGCCTCCATAAGTAACTTTAAACATATGTGGCTCTAGGGGATTTGCGCAATAGTCCAACGCTAAGATTGCAGGCAACGCGCGTCCTCCCAGCTCCTGTTAATTCTACAATTCCAACTTAAAAAAAGATTCCGACCAGCCTTGCTATGGCGCGTCCGTAATCCGCTAGCTAATATAATCCATCGATCCAAACGACATTCGGCTCAGCTGCTTTTTCAATAAAAGGACAAGAGTACAACGGTTGTGAATACATTTCGAACATGTGAATCAATCGATGCACAAAAGGCGAACAGAGCACCGAGCTGTGGAGCCGCCGCTATATAGCTAGCCACCTAACGAGCCAACAAAGGAGAGTTCCGGAGACGATTGCGGCGACACGCTTCTCGATATCGTAATCGTCGCTGAATAGCGCGGTAACCGGTGATCCCGGCCTTTCTGCCTCAAGCAGCGCTTTGCCAAGACACGACAAGATTTCTAAGCAATGTTTGTACCCAAAACACCATAATTGAAACCGTTTCACACCGATACAATTTAGCTTGCAACCTTTGCGTTCTTGTTCTTCTCAAACTGTGGCCGAAAGCGTATTTTTCAAGACAATTTTCAAAATCGTATTATTCGCAGTATGCAAATAGCATTTTAGGACTGCATACAAAAGCCTTGGGATAAGCTGATTTTAGAAGGAGGTTGAGTGGCACTCTGCCGCATGTGTCGTTTTTATCCGCTTGTGTCGTTCTTATAAGTTCTCACCGAAGCTCCTCACTTCAAGTACGAACTTAGAGCAACACCGCCGCAGTAGAAAAAATGAAGCTAGCAAAAATATAGTGCTATAGTGGGATTAAGGGACTGACCAAATCCAAGGTCGTCTCAACGCTTTGCAGCGGAGGATTAGCATCAAGTTTTATTACATATTATTTGTTCTCTTATCGAACTAACTGAGTGAGCTCGTTCTCAACGATCAGCGTCCGACAGAGCTTTCTGCCCTTTATAAAAACGTATGCAATCCAACTCTACTAGTAGTTTCAAAAAAATTGTGGGCCAGAAATGTTTTTCTAGCCTGAAAACTGCGCCAAATATAGCACATTTTCATAATCTGCCTCTTCTACACAAAACGGGAAAAGCCTTTGCACATTTAAGCACATTAGAAAGAGCTTGGGAAGTACTTTCGAATTGTATTTCCATGTCAGGGCCTTTGAGGTACAGAGCACAAATTCGGATAGGTTTGAAAAGTCTGTCTTACATCTTCGAAGCTCCGCTCGAACGAATGAAGATAGACGTTGCGTGTTGCTGCTAGAATAACATGCGAAGAAATTTATACAAAAGTGCTGCTACAGTGCTGGTTGCCTGTCGCTTATAAAAAAGACTTTTGTACTCTGAAATTGCAAAAATTGACGGCGTCTTCTTCGTTCATCGAGCGGTGCTTTCGTTGAGGTAGTCGATCTGGTAGTGATTACTCATCATTACTCTGTACGTACCTAGCCAGCTAAGTAAGCTAAGCTAGTTGATTCGTGACGGTTAAGAAGTAACGAAGTAACTCTAGGAGTTGTTAAGACTGACGATATGGCTGACGAAGGACATAATGGAAATGCTGCTGGAGATGCTGAGCCGGAAAACTTCCGCAAAATCTTCGTGGGAGGCCTCACTGGTAACACAACCGATGAAGTCATGCGGGAGTTCTACTCACAATTCGGTGAGCTGACTGACATAATCGTCATGCGCGATCCAAACACCAAGCGGTCGAGAGGCTTCGGTTTCGTCACCTTCGCCACTAAAGCTAATGTTGATGCTGCTATGGCTGCTCGTCCTCATGTCATCGATGGAAAAACGGTTGATCCTAAACGTGCTGTTCCTAGAGATGACAAGAATCGCAATGAGTCAAATGTGTCCACCAAACGTTTGTACGTTAGTGGAGTTCGCGAGGACCATACAGAAGAAATGTTCACGGAGTACTTTAGCAAGTTCGGAAATGTTGTGAAATCTGAAATCATACTCGATAAAGTAAGCAATAAACCCCGTGGATTCGGATTCGTTACCTTCGATGATTACGACCCGGTCGACCAATGTGTTTTGCTCCGAAGTCACATGATAAACGGGTTCAGGTGTGATGTAAAGAAGGGTCTTTCGAAAGATGAAATGAACAAAGTCGCCCAAAGTAATCGCGATCGTATGGATAGAATGGGACGCTCGCGCGGAGATCAGCGCGGTGGTTATGGAGGGCCAGGAGGCGGTTGGGGTGGTCAACAAGGAGGACAAGGACAGCGTGGAGGTTGGGGACAACAGGGTTATGGCCAGCAGGGATATGGTGGCCCGCAAGGAGGCTATGGACAACAAGGTGGATACGGAGGATATGGTCAACAGCAGGGTTGGGGAGACCAGTCAGGATGGGGTCAGCAATCCGGTGGAGGCGGCTGGGGTGGCCAAGGCGGAGGCTGGGGCCAACAGTCCGGTGGATGGGGAGCGAGTGGTGCACCATCTGGGCAGCAGCAGTAGGCTAATGCTCAAAAAGGTGGCAGATACTAGTCTGATCTCTTTTTGACGCTTTTCAAGTGCTTGTGCACATTGTGGTTGCCACGAAGTGTTATCTGATCTTCTCTCTTTGTTACGTATCTTGTTGTTCTTAACGTCATCGTTGACGCGTATCTCTTCAAATTACTGCTAAGCTGTATATAGAAGTTGGGCAATTAATTCCACGTTTTCCGTATTGAATGTAAGGCTTGGCCATTTGGAAGTGCGGCTTCGTGTTTTGTGCTATTGTTTTGTGAGATTTGTGGAGTTCTGTTAAGTAATAAAGCTAAGTTATAAAAAAAAAGAATCGAGGTGTCCCATTATATTTGGGTCAACCTAATAGTTTCCACTCGTTGACTAGCGGCCTCGAGCTTTCTGTAGCGTGTTTTTTGCCTTGCCCAGGAAGTACGAAACCCTCTTGCTATTTGTAAGCCTAAACGTACTTTCTCGATCGATGACGTAGCAGTCCCGGGCATTTCGATAAATCACTGGGTCTTACATCCTATGCAAACACTACACATTGATTAGATTGCAATTTCCTTCAAAAACACTAATGAACTGAGTTGCCGAGCTATTTAAAATACAAAACTTCAGCTTCTGCATAAGAAGCGATGGTTGTCCATGCTGGATGATCACCATCACGTAGCCATACTTCACTTCATAGGCGCCAGGTGCATCATTTAATGCAACTCGGCGCTATGCATTTTTTGATATAAAGCAATGCCTACTTGAGCATTGTGGATCAGCTAGTTATTTTTCACATTCTTATCGATTTTTGCCTAGAGTAGTAAGCAATATGGGCCGAAAGCAAAACAATGTGAAGGCTCATGCATGACGAAGGCGCGATGGCGACATTAGTTGAGCGGGCGCGAACGCACCGCGCGCGTATCCTCACCGTTTCAAATCCTGCACCTCAAACGCTCCGCGGCTAAGAAAGCCGCGTACGCGCCCAAAGATACTGCGCCTTCGTCATTCAGCGGCCTATAGGCCTAAATTTCCGTGCAAAATGGCTAGCTACCATAATCTTACTTTACTCAGGCACTCGCTTTTCTAAATTAAAGGATACATATTGGAGTGAATGATGCCTTTGGGTTCACCATTCAGTGCTTGAAATTAAAGCTTGTCACCGTAATTTCGAAAAGAAATTACGGTGACAAGCTTTAATTTCGAGCACTTGTAAAAAAAGACGTCATGCCATAGTGCATCTATAGACCTCGGCCAAGAAGAACTGATATGTACTAGCATCTCTCAACACTTGAACATACAATTATTTTTTTCTTTTTTGAAGGCATTGCATTTATTTTCTGGGTGTCCCATTACTTTTGGATTAGATTAATACAACAGGATCCTGAGGCCTTGTTTTGGGAAGAGGGAGGTGGTGTGACGATAGGGCCCAAGGCATACCTCCAGCGATCCTGTCGTTACGACTTTCGATAGCTGCGACTATACTGCCTAAGCGACCGCTCACTTCATGAAAATCGCTCATAGCTGATTATCGGACATCCCAAAGCGATTTCGTAGACGCTCATATACCACACCGCACCAAACGCACTTTTGAAAATTGCGCTAAATTGCATCTGAGGTGCATTCATTTAAGGAAATTTGAAGAGAATGTGGCTCCACATGTTTAGAGAATTAACATCGAATGAGGAAGGATATGGATTCACACTCACCCTAATATTTAACGACGTTTTTCTATCGGCGAAAGTTAGCATTTGCAATGAAATCGGCTACTAGCTCATGAACTTTTGAGTTTACTGTTTCAACCATTAGTGGGCATACCGTTACTTCGTTACAGTAAGGACATCTTTCGAGTCGGAAAAAACAATGCATATTTTAACTAGTGCTGCGCGAGTTCTTGTCTGCCATTTTGCGAACGATTACTCACATATACAAATGAGCAACCAAGATTGCATATCTATTCTGCTTCAGAAATTATAGCAAGAACATTCGAGATTCGGTCACCATATACTTGTTATTGATAAACAAGACCGCTTTGACCAGCATGGAATTAGAACGCAGCGTCCTGTGGCTTCGCAATGCGAGCGCTCCTAGAAGTAGGAAGCCGGGAGCACCTGCCGCGCTTTCCGGCGACGGTTACGGTACTTTCTTACATGCGGACCTCTCCTTGCCTTGGCACGAGGCCAGCAAAAAATATGTAACAGCGGCTCATCATTTCGGTGTCTGCACCTTTCGTTTTCGATCGATAATCTTTCCTCATGTTTTCATTGTGATTCTGCGTGGCAGTTTGGCTCCCGCTTTTGATATCTTTCGCGTTAGCGGTCGCTCGGAACTCTAACTGAATTGGAATTCACATCGAATATAAGACTAATTTCGAACGAGCCATCCTTGGGATTTTGCGCCCTTAGTGGTAAAATTGAATCTTGAGGAAAAGCTGTCGCGCCTGTCATTCGGCGACGCGTGGGGTGTGATCTGTATAGGTGATTGGGAGCATATTTGTTATTTGTCTTCGTAGACGCGCACCACCGCGCAATAGGCGTGGGGAGGAAAAGAACAGTTTTTTTCATGATGAAAAGTCCTGCGCCTCTTGCTTCTGTTCTAAGTGCTTAGGGCCCACCAAGCTGCCACACAGTGAATGAACAGTGAGATTCGGGGTGTTGAGCTCAGGCCGATGTATGAAAGTTAGTAAGTTGTAATTTAGAGCAATTTTTTATTTATACATGTAAGGTGTCTGGCTTTCACCATCGTAGCGCTTTGTCCTGTTGCAAATACGTCCTTAAATGTTTGCTTCACCCCATTTGTGATTCTGTAGCTGTTTTTTTCATTCTTGTTAACTATCCAAATAAATTCTCTTTTCTCAAATGTTCTCTAGGTTGCCGTCTTCAACACACATCTTGACATGCAGTTATCGTCGTCTCCCCGGTGTACGTTGGCTGGAGCATTTGCTGACATCTGATCATGTTGGTGAACCTGTTAACCCTTCAATGCAAGGCATTTTTTTTGTAATTCCTCGATACCAACTGTGCCACGTGTGACAACAGCATATATACGTGGCAATTTAAAAGTACAAAAAAACCATACTTTGCAGTAGAGGCTTGACAAGTTCACCATTGTGTTGAAATGTCCGCCAAAGCTCCGCCCAACGTACGCCGGGAAGACGACGATACAAGGCGATGGTTCCGCGCGAGAGATCAGTCAGTTGTCTTGTAGGCTAAAACATATCTAAAGTCTTTATTTTAGGTCTCCATGGAGAAAAGCGAAGCCACGGTTAGCTGATAGCGAATTAAAGATTGTATAGCTTTGGAAGCATAACTCAATCAATAAGTTGTGAGCTGATGTCGTTTGCATGTTCTTCTCAGATAAGTAGTGTTTCTCATTTTTTTTTAATCGCTAGCAGAGGCACGTTCATGTAAAGTAGGAACCTAATCCGTAATGTTGCGTGATGAAAGACAAGAGCAAACTTTTAATTTCTACTCAGTGGCAGTACACGCAGTTTTGCCTGTCTGTTTACCTTTGTCGGGTTTCTGCTGAAGCCGTTATGAATTCTTCTTTGAAAACATTAACATTGCGATTTTGCGTTGTTCAAGCAGTACTACACAGTACATCTGCAGCATTCTCACGTTTCTACTATTTGCGCATGTAACATGCTGCTTGCTATCCTTTATGTCCCTGTCTAACGCGTACCCCGCTGAATTTAATCTTGCTGCGAAGTTGCAAACAACTTCATGTTTGACTGAAAGTCTAATGGAGAGAATTGTCTGCTGATTCGGGTTCACGTGAGGAACTTTTTTCGGATTTGCAAGCAGCAGGTGCTACTTTACAACTTTCAGTCGTATAGCAAAAATTTTTCTTGGGAGCAGCAGAAAAATTGCCTATCTCACTGACTGTGACACTGTGAGTCTGAACTGTTGAGTTCTGCTCGACTGTGCGACTGATACGTTGAAAGGCGTGTACGTAAGGCATGATTTCTGCGCCGGCAGAACCTATGGATTTCATCTCTTTCTGATCAGATACTCAAAAATGCTTTGCGTACGTCTGATTAACAAGTACATAAATTCGACACTTTTTAATAATTTACCAGCTGAAGTTTGTCAAGACACGTAAAAGGACGCGTTCGAGCTCTTTGAACAACGTGTGCTACAACCCACAAATCTACCGGTAACAGCATTTTCGGTAGAAGGCACTACTTTCTTTCCTCCTTCCATACCATCCATACCTGCCACGTAGAGTACCAATATTGCGATTCTGAGAGTCTGACCAATATTGCGATTCTGCATTCAAGTTTGTTAATATGCTCAGAAAAGCAGTGCAAGAGTTCCGGACCACATTTTTTAAACGATCCAGCTGCGAGGCAAGGTCCTACAGCCGGGAGGCGTGCAAGTGGTACCCGGGCAGCCGACTGCTTCCGCAGCCAGCCGCCAGAGCTGCCGGCAAAGTCGCTGCAGATGGTACAGTAATTATGCTCGTCGTCTAAAACTCTTGCCGAGAGGTTTTCTCGCACCTAGTCGCTCTGAGGTGCGAAGTCAGCCTCAGTTAAGCGTGATATCCTCGATATCTATATCATTTTGAACAGCAAAAACTTCATGTTTTTTGAGGAACATGCAAATAAACAAAGGTAATCAGAGGAGGGGTTTTCTAGAAGAAAGTGATCACAAAATCAAATCACTTCAAAGACTCAAAGGAAGCAGAAGCTGAAAAAATTAGGAATTCTCAAAATTCTAGAGATTTCTTCTCGCTTTTACGTCGAAGAATGGGCGAAAACAATAACAGAAAAATGTCATGGATGTAGCGGCAAGAAAACACAATATCTATATCATTTTGAACAGTAGAGAAAAGCCATATTTCATTGAGAACCAGACAGTCGAATACAAAACCACACCGGAAAATTTCCAAAAATAGGAATTCAAACGTTTTTTTTGTTACAAATATTGAAATCAAAGTATTAGGTCGTCCCAAAAGTATTTTCGCTTTTTTCAAACGGTTGCCACAATCGATGGAACAAACCTTTCTAAGAGGTTTTGATA